GAAATGCTGTGTCCTCCTGCGTATTATCCTTAGGAAGAAGAATATCCAGCGGGATATTCCCACTGTATTGTTGAAAGAACGGCGTTTCGACGTCCCATCTCTTTCCACCCGTTCGAGTTACCTTTCTGTGAACTGGAGAATCCCGTAGGGTCCTTGCTGACTGGATAAGGTGCTCCCGTTATATAATGTGGACTACTCGTACTATTTTGGAGAAGCTGGACCCCACCATCGCCACCGACCTTTCTACGTACCATAAAGTGCCACCACCTCCTACTCCGCCTCGAAGAAGGTCTCTTTAGCGCAAATGGCGTACATCCGAATGAAGCGGGCCACCGGCCCGCTCGACGGCGAAGTTAAGGCGCGCCTGCGTGGAGACGGCGCCCTCCGGGTCGCTGGCTATGCCAGTACCGGCAGCGACCAAGGCGCCGCCACCTGCCTCTCCCGTCTCGTCCACGCCTTCATTGAGACTGGCGGCCACGATACCCCCTCTTCGCCCAAGGATGATGGAGACGACGAAGATGGGTCCGAAGCGGACGCTGCCGCTTTCGATCGGGATCGCGCCGCCGCGAAGATAGTCCGGGAGCTGATATGCCCCGCGGTGGACATGAATCAGTTCCGAAGGAGGCTGGCGGGCGAGGTCTGCGAGACGGCGGAGGGGTTCGCCTGGCTAAGGTCAAGCTGCGGTGGTTCTGCCTTCCGGCGCGCGGTGATGGCGCGGCTGAGGGATGCGGGGTACAATGCCGGGATCTGCAAGGCGAGCTGGGAAACCTCCGGCGGTCTCACCGGTGGGAGCTACGAGTACATCGACGTGGTGGCGACGGCGGGGGAAGGGGATGGCGACGAGCAGGGGAGAAGGTACATCGTGGACTTGGAGTTCGCGGCGGAGTTCGAGGTTGCGAGGGCGACGGAGGCGTACAAGGAGGTGGTAGCGGCGCTGCCGAGGGTGGCGGTGGCGGGGGAGGAGGCGGTGAGGGCGGCTGTGCGGGCAGTGGCGGACGCGGCGCGGAGGTCGCTGCGGGCGCGGGGCCTGCACGTGCCGCCATGGCGGAAGAGCCGCTACATGCTCGCCAAGTGGCTCGGGCCCTACCGGCGGACGACCAACCCAGTGCCGACCTCGCTCCCCGCCGCGCCGCCTGGCGGCGACGTGAAGTGCCGCGCGGTGGGGTTTCCCACGGCGGCAAGGCTGTTGGCGGCCCCCACCGCCAGGACCCGGTAGAAGAGCCGGCGACGGCCGCGGCGAGCAGTGACCGAGTTCTTTTTCCTTGTCTATAAGCGGTGATCGATCAAGTGTGTGACGTGACAGCGATGACGTGGGCGAATCTGTCTCGTGATTGACCGATTATAATGGGACCACGTTTTGTGGATAATCGGTAATCATACCGTGCGAGGATGTCATATCCTTTTCTGTAGAACATGCAATGTAGTAAGGGACAGAGGCCGTGGCTGATTTGACGTGGCACACAGCATCACTGCCGTCGAATCATGATTCGACGGGCTGATGGACCGCGCGGTCATCCTCAGAGATGGGTCCCGCTCGTGGTTGCCGATAGCGGCCGCCGATCTGGCGTGAGACGCACGATGCGGTGCATAATTGAGCTGGGCCCCACCGTACCAGGTTCATCTCAGCCGCTCATCTTGGAGCGACATCTGATGTGACGCGCACAAGAGAGAGGTAGTGGTGTGGGTTCTTGATCTTGAAGTCCGACGGCAACGTCGGTCGAACTCGGTCGTGACTCGAGTGGCAACCCGAGTCGGTGCGTGGATCGAGATCATCCGTTGGTGGTGGATGCATTGATATCGTCACTGGAAATATGCATCAACGAGGTATTCGACCGACTGACCACGAGAAGCGTTCTTTGGCAAGACGCTTAGACCTGCATTCTCTCTCTCTCATGCATTAACGAGGTGTTCGACAAAATGACGATGAGAAGCATTCTTCGGCAAGACGCGTCCACTTGCCTTCGCTGGGATCCGCCGGTGGTTGGTGGCCTTTGTGACTTCTGGCGCAGCTCTCATCGTTTTCTTGCTTTAGGATTCCCTGGTGCAATGCCCTTCGGTGACGGCCATGAGAGGCCAAACGAGAGAAAAGTACTTGTTTTAGGTACGCACGCATTGCAACTTGGCATATCCATCGCCGAAGCTGCACTCTCCGACCATGCACCCTAAGAGACGCTCAAGGTGGCGCCAGGCGAATGCTTCTGGGCCCTCCTTTGCATGTGATAGTCACGTTAGTAGGGCTGGAGATGGCGAAGCTTCAACGTGAAGACAGTTCATGTGTCCGAGAGTCATTGTGCCAAATCATGGATTTGGCCGACTCCACGCAACAACGACAAAGACAAAAGGAGGCCGCAAGAATGGAGGAGAAAGAGGCACACCCCTCAAGTAAGTAATAGATTAAGAATACAAATTATACGCCTCCATCATGACTTAATATCCTTTTATACGAAACAGTAATGATTAAAAAATAAATAGTGTTAAGTCTAAATTTTAGTGTGGATATTGATTCAGAACCAACCAAGAAATTCCATTCCGCATCTATCTCTTGTTGGTGTTGGGAACAACTGAATCCCTAAGACATTGAACCTATAAGATTGTGTCTATGTCTGTGTTCGATAAAATCATTTCGATGCCTATGTTAATTTATAAGGTATGATATCAATTGAAAGTCTTTGGGAACTCACCTAATGAGACTTTTTATAGTGTAGCTCTGAGACCGTTATACTCATAAACATATATTGTTATCGACACGATTTCGCATATTATTCAACCCTGGTGAAATTATGTTGCGTCGAATTCGAAAACATATAATAAACACGATGTGGTCGATAATATCTAGAGGACGATAACATATCAATTGCACATGATAGAAATACTAGAGACCCAACATCGAGATATCAACCACCTAACGTCGAGGTATCGTCCACTTAGAGTATGTATAGAAAGGAGAGAGGGATAAGAGTGTTTGACCTCAATAACTATTCTCATGTTTAAATTTATAATCAATCGATCCCTATCGGTTCATGATTGGAAAAATATTCTACATCATGAAAAATATTTAGATAATATTTTCCATTCATCAATTGAGGAGCAACTCCGAATGAAGACATCGTTAGGTTTGAACCAATCTATCGTCCACACTACACTATGAGGAAAATGTTAAGAATATAAACCGTAAAACTATATTCCATCTACCGGCTTTAAGTCTTCGAAAAGAACCGCAAGTGATAAGAAATACTATGAGTTAATTGCCATGGAATGATACCAACGGAATTATAGGCATTTCTAGATGATGCCACAAAACTAATACTATAAAAATAACTCTGATGTCTCTGTTGAGACATTTGAGTTGATTAATGTATTATTACATAAAAATAATAAGTCTTATGTTTGAATCCATATGTGAGCGTCATGCACAGAATGATATGTCTTGGAATTAAAGTGTGGTTATGTTGTTTTGTTCATACAGAATGATATGGAAATTAAGAAAGAAAAAAAAGTTATAAAGACTTTGAATTGAAGGAAAAGATAGGGAGTTAGCAAAAAAATCAGATGAAGGGAACAAAGCAAAGAAACAAAAATAGTGTCATGACAATACAAATATATGGCTTACTAAAAAAATATTTTTATGTGAGATGAAAATAAACATAGATTTTTTTGAAGTTTGAAAGATATTTATAAAGATCGGCCCATAACTTAACATCATATTATATTAAACATTCGATGGCATTACATATATAGAGTAAATCTAATAAGTTGGATACAATTTATCATAGACTTAGTTGATTTTGTATAAGTCATGTGATACCGTTATGTATTCATTCGTAAAAAATTAGCTCTTTCAAACTTTTTATGATCCTTTTAAGAACCTAAAAAAAAAAATGATGGATCAGAGTAAATGTTTAACTTAGAATTTCAAAATTAATATCTACATGCTCATCGGGTATCTACATTCTCATCGACCATGTACCACCAAAAGACTCCATGAGTATCTACATGATATTACCGTGAAACAAAAATAACGAGCCAACCCTAAACACTATCCTAAATGCTCATCGGGTCATGATGTACCACCCAAACAATCTTATTTTGATTGATTTTTGTACTCATATTCTAAAAACAAAAGATAATTTAGTAACATTAGAATATTTTTTTCATAATTAGTAAACTAATTCAGATTTTATTAGAAATCCAAGTAAAAGTTATAAGAATTTAGTGGTCAGAAGGCAATTGAGATGATCACGGGATGCATCTAGTCAACTTCAATGGCGTCCATTAATGCAAAGACAAGAACAGTGTGTCTTTCCACGTTAATTTATCCCACGAGACCCGCGCCCTAAGGGCAACACAAGAGCAAAGGGACACACCCTTTCATTAAGAATCATCCATTCCATCGCGTTGACTATTATTTACCCTTCCTTTCTTCCACCTCATGCTTGTGATCGAAAAGGCGAGCCAATTGATTCGATCACATGCTTAGAAAATATGATCGTATATTGTGTCAAAGCTTTAGTGACTGAAAGATGCTGATAAGAGAGCAAATTTCCTTCTCCTGATGAAAGAGAATTCGATACGCTTATAACTTAACTCACTAATAATCCGATCTCGTGGTTATTTCTTGGAAGAAAAAGTTTCCTTTGTTCTTTAATTATTCCATTAGAACACATTTTGTTAATTATACGGTGAGTGATAAACATAATATGTGTAAGTTAAGATGCAGGCAGACGTATTATATTTTCTTGACTACATTAATCACATAATTCAAAAAATTAATTTTTATAGAAAATATTTATTATTTTTAATGATGTAAGGTGTGATTGTCAGAAAGAATATAATAGGATAATTAATTATATATTATTTTCTATAATTAGTTATCTTTCGTATTGATGAGGGTAATAATTACGATAAAACTTGCGTGACACCCGCTGATGTCCCGCTCCCCTGTTAGCCTAACACCGCGTGACTGACATGGGTCAAAACGTCAACCGAGGCCCATTAACGACCGCTCAGGTTCGGTTCCACACGCTACGCCGATAGCAATGTCAGACGTCATCAGAAGGTACGATCCTACCCCCTGCGGGCAGGCGCATCAGGTAACACCGAACTCCCCTATAAATACCCTTGCATTCTAAACGAAAAGGGAAAAAAAAAACAGAGAAAACAACCCCACTACGATTGTTGACTGACTTGATCGTCGGAGGGGTCGGGTCGAGTTCTCCCGTCCCGACCTGTGTGCAGGAACGAAGGCGAGGCGCTTCTCTCCGGGCGCGTTGGCAAGGAACCCCCTCGCGGAGGAACCGACGTCCCGTCATCCAGACCCGAACCAAGCCGCGTCGGCCTTGAGGTCACGGCTAAAAAGTTGTTTACACTAACATAATAGCGCTAGAAGGAGGGCCGATGTCAAGGGATCGCCAGGCCGACTCGGCCGAAACCGCAGTCGAGGGGGCGCATCCGGTCGGGGTTCCAGGGGAACATCCCCCGCCGATAGGTCTCCGTAGCGAATACCCCGCCGCTACTTCAGAGTGCTATTGGCGAATCTTCAATGACCAGGGCTTGTTACCGCCCGACGCCCCCTCCACCGAGCCACCGCCCGTCTCGTCCGAAGCCTTTCTCGACCTCACCCACCAGGTCCAAGTTCTAACCAGTATGATACAGTCCATTATTCCGCTCGTCTCAGGAATGCTGCACCCCCCGGCCACCGAACCGGTGCGACAGTAGGAGCCGCCTGCTCAGGCTCAGGCGCAGCCCCTGGAGCTTCCCACTTCGCCTCGAGTCCCGTCGTCCCCGCTCACTGGTCGAGTCACGACGGACCGGAGGGGCCACACCCAACTCGAGGCCTTTCCTTCGGCCTCGACGGACTCCCTGCGAGCCCAGTTGCTCCTCGTCAGTCAACGACTTGACGAGGTACAGAAAGAGGTCCGCAGGTTGAGAGGAGAGCTCGGGGAGGACATACATCAGGGATCCTCGTTCGTCCCCGAAATACGGGATCAGACGGTCCCGCAGAACTTTCGTCTCCCCTCTCTCGACACGTACGACGGCTCCACCGACCCAACGGACCACGTAGCCGCCTTCTGCACCCAAATGGCACTGTATGAAACTTCTGACGCTATGATGTGCAGGGCGTTCCCCACAACACTAAGGGGACCAGCCTGCACGTGGTACGACGGCTTGAGGACCGGGACCATCGCCTCATTCGACCAGCTAACTAGAGACTTCGAGCTCCACTTCCTAGCCAGCGCACGACCAAAACCGTCCGTTGCCTTGCTTCTCGGACTACATCAGAGGGAGGACGAGTCCCTCTCCCACTTTGTGAACCGTTTTTCCACGTAGATCCGGGGATTATCCGACGCTCACCCCTCTCTGTTGATGCAGGCGTTCATGATAGGACTAAGACCTTCCTAATTCTTCTGGTCCCTCATTGAGGGACCCCCCTCCACGTTACCGGAGATGCTTCAGCAGGCAAACCAATTCATCACGGCTGAGGCTTGGATGGCCGGAAAGCAGGAAAAGCACATGAGGGTTAGACCGGAACCGGCTCGCGGGCAACAGCCTGCCGCGACTAGGCGCAGAATGGACCAATCCGACCTACCCGCTCCGAGGCCTCCTCTGCCCCCCCTAAGCGCATCTCGAACGGAGATATTTCTCCAGATAAAGGAGAGGGGGTTACTTAGGGCTCCCGTTCCGATGAAAAATCCGCGAGAGCTCGCTGACCAGTCCAAGCATTGCAGCTTTCACAGGCAAAATGGGCACGACACTGAAGACTGCCGCGAACTGAAGCGGCAGATCGAGGAGCTCATCCGCGGGGGGCACCTCAGTCGGTACATCCGACATAACGGGGAGTCCTCGCCTCTCCCAGAGGGCCCCGTGGAGCGCTACATCGATGTCATCACCGGAGGACCGGCGGCTGGGGGAACCAGTATGTCGGGGAGAAAGGCATACGCCCGTTCCGCTAGGATCGACGCTCCCCAACGTGGTCCCGACCCCAAGGTCGCATTCCCTCCCGAGGACGTCAAGCTACCGGAACACGACGATGCGCTTGTGATAATAGCTCGAATCGCTAACGCCCAGGTAAGAAGAATCATGATCAACACCGGAAGCTCGGCCGACGTGCTCTATCTGGACGCCTTCCAGAAGTTGGGGTTAACAAAAGAATCCCTAAAGCCTATCTGCTCGGCGCTCACGGGGTTCACCAGCGACTCTGTCTCACCATTGGGGACGGTCACCTTGCCCCTCACCTTGGGAGCGCCGCCCCGAACAAAGACGGTGATGTCCACCTTCTTGGTGGTAGATCTTCCTGCTGCCTACAACGCCATCCTCGGCCGCCCCACCCTCAACAAAATCAGAGTTGTAGTCTCCACCTATCATCAAACGGTGAAGTTTCCTACCCCCACCGGGACAAGCGAAGTTTGGGGAAGCCCCCGAGAGTCCCGACGATGCTACCTGACGGCGATCTCGCTACACAAAAAGGCGAGGACCGACTAGCCTCTTGAAGACCCGAGAGAAGAGAAACGGTCGACGCCACACCCGGAGCCGATGGCGCCCACCTGCGACGTGCCATTGATGGAGGATCGCCCGGATCGGACGGTCCGGGTCGGGTCAGAACTCCCCGGGCAAGAGCAAGAGCAGCTCGTCGGTTTCTTACAGGAGAACGCCGATGTCTTCGCCTGGTCGCCATCCGACATGATCGGCGTCGACCTTGAGACCGCCCAGCATCACCTGAATATATCACCTGACGCCCGACCGGTAAAACAGAAACCACGACGACATGCCCCCGATAGGCAGCTCGCCATTCGTGAAGAAGTGGAGCGTCTGTTAGCGGCTGGCTTCATCGAGGAAATCAAGTACCCGCGATGGCTATCTAATGTAGTGCTGGTGAAAAAATCTAATGGGAACTGGAGGATGTGCGTTGACTATACAAGTCTCAATCGGGCATGCCCGAAAGACTACTATCCCCTCCCAAGAATCAATCAGTTGATCGACGCGACAGCCAGGCACGCCCGCTTATCGTTCATGGACGCCTTCTCCGGCTACAACTAGATCAGAATGGCGCCTGAAAACCAAGAACACACGGCTTTCATCACCGACCTGGGGGTGTATTTCTACAAAGTCATGCCGTTTGGGCTCAAGAACGCAGGCGCCACCTACCAGAGGGCCGTGAATAAAATGTTCGCCGCTCAAATCGGGCGGAACGTCGAAGTCTATGTCGATGACATGATCGTCAAAAGTCGCATGGCGGTAGACCACCTGATCGACTTGGTCGAAACATTCTCTACACTCCGGAAGTATGGCCTGCGGCTAAACCCGGCAAAGTGCACCTTCGGCGTCGGGTCAGGAAGGTTCCTCGGATTCATCGTGCATGAAAGAGGAATCGACGTGAATCCGGAGAAGGTGCAGGCGGTCATCAGTATGCAGGCCCCTCGAACAGTCAAGGACCTGCAGCGACTAAACGGACGGCTTGCTGCCTTATCCCGATTTCTCTCTCGGTCCTGTGATCGTTGCCTCCCCTTCTTCCGGGCGTTAAAAAACCCCAAGGACTTCCGGTGGACGGTGTAGTGTGAAGAGGCTTTTGGACAAGTCAAGCGGCACCTGGCCAACCTTCCCCGCCTTGCTTCGGTCGTTCTCGGGGAAAAGCTCAACGTTTACTTGGCTGCCTCCCAGCACGCGGTCAGCTCCGTCCTAACCAAAGAAGTTGCCGGGGAGCAATTGCCGGTCTACTACGCCAACCACGTTCTGAACGGGCCCGAGGAGCAATATCCGTCGCTCGAAAAGCTCGCTTTGGCGCTCGTGCTGGCATCCCGGAAATTACGCCCTTACTTCGAGGCTCACACGATTGAGGTAATCACTGACCAGCCGCTCCGGCAAGTTTTATCTAAGTTTGATGTCGCAGGTCGACTCCTCAAGTGGTCGGTAGAACTCGGAGAGTTCGACATACATTACGTTCCAAGGACTGTCATCAAGACCCAGTCCGTAGCCGACTTCATCGCGGAACTGGCCGATGGTGGGAATGGAAGCCCCAAGCAGACAGAGGAGGCATGGGACTTGCACGTGGACGGCTCGGCTACCTCCAGCAGCGCCGTTGCGGGGTTGGTACTCTCGGCTCCCGACGGACGCTCATTCGAACGATCCCTCCGCTTCGGGTTCCGGGCCACCAAGAATGAAGCCGAATACGAGGCGCTCCTGGCTAAACTCAAGTTGGCCCTTGAAATGCAGGTGGATGTCATCCGCGTCTTCACTGACTCGCAGCTCGTCGCTGAGCAGCTTAGCGACGGGTACGAAGCCAGAGAACCAACCATGGAAAGGTACTTGGCAAAGGTAAAAAGCCTAGTCTCCAACTTCTCCCGCTTTACGTTATCCAAGGTGTCGAGGAACCAAAATGAACGAGCCGACAAATTGGCAAAGATGGCTTTGGGACTGGACCACGGAAACCACCCCGGGGTCGAAGATCTCCCATCCCGCACCATCTCAGTTTCGTCTGTAGCTCCGACCGAAGCGCGCACCACGTGGGTACAGGAGATGCTGCTCTTCAAACGCAATGGGGTCCTTCCCGACGACGAAGCTACGGCGCGCCGCATTCGCCGAACGCAAGCGTGGTATTCCGAGGTGAACGGGCGACTCTACAAACGGTCCTTCTCACAGCCCCTACTGCGATGCCTCGAGCCTAGCGAAGCGAAGGCAGTCCTCGCCGAGGTCCACGAGGGGATTTGTGGGGAGCATATTGCTGCTCGAACCTTGGCCTACAAAATCCTTCGACAAGGATACTACTGGCCCACCATGTCCCAAGATGCTAGAATCTACGTGCAGCGGTGCGGGCCCTGCCAGTGGCACGCCCGAACGCCCAGGCAGTCGGCGGTCCCCCTGTCCCCCATCGACTGCGCATGGCCATTCGCTCAGTGGGGATTGGACCTCCTCGGCCCTTTTCCACCGGCCTCGGGGCAACGACGATACATCGTCGTGGGCGTGGATTACTTCACCAAATGGACTGAAGCCGAGCCGCTAGCGACAATCACGGAACGACAAGTAGAGAAATTCGTTTGGAAAAGCATCGTGACTCGATTTGGCTTGCCAGAGGCCATCATCACATATAATGGATCCCAGTTCACTAGCGCTCGGTTCTAGGAGTTCTACGCGAGCTATGGGATTCAGCTGAGGTTCAGCTCTGTGGCCCATCCCTAGACAAATGGGTTAGCCGAAGTCACTAACCGATCTATTCTAAACAGACTCAAGAGGAGAGTGTCAGCGGCCCAGTCAGCTTGGGTGGACGAGCTCCCCAGTATTCTGTGGTCCTTGCGGACCACTCCCAAGGCCGCGACCAGAGAATCCCCCTACAGCCTCTCATTTGGGACCGAGGCTGTCTTGCCTCCCGAGATGATTTTCCCCACCCTGAGGACGGCAAGCTATGACGAACAAGTTTCGACCCAGGGACTGCGAGCCGATCTCGATCTGCTTGAGGAGCGGCGCGCTAATGCGCACCTGAAAGATCTCTCCTATAAAAGGGCCGTCGCTAGAATTTATAACCGTAAGGTGCGGCCTCGGCCAATTAAGTTGGATGACTTGGTCTTACGCAGGGCCGAGGTTAGCGACCCGACCCGAGCACGTGGGAAGTTAGCTCCCAATTGGGAAGGACCATATCGGGTGATCGAAGTCATTAGGGTCGGAGCATACCGACTCGCGACGATGCAAGGCCATGCTTTGCCAAAAACTTGGAACTCACAAAACCTCAAAAGGTTTTTTCTGTAATATGATGAGTTGGGACGTAACAAAAGCGAGAGTTACGTTAGCAAAAGTTAGTACAAACACAACGGGTTAGGCAAACCACAAGACAAACGAGCACGATGAGAATAAGAACAGTCATACCATTTTCAGAAAGCACATTACATTTTGCACCCAAACAACAAAAGGGAAAAACATGTACAGACGAGCCTACATTTATTCCTCTGGAGCGTCGAGACTGTCATCAAAAGGGACTTCATCCGGCATGTCGACGTCCATGTCCTCAGGGAAGGAGTCGAAAGGATCCTCCGCGACCTCTAGGTCGGGATGGCGCGCCTTGAAGCGGGCGAGGGCAATTCGGTACCCATACTCGTACGAAACCCGCCCGGTCCGAACAAGGCCAAGCTGAAAGCCCGAGGATGCTTTGTAGTCCTCGATCAATTTCTTGTCCTTTTCCGGCCTCTAGCGAATCTCGACGGATAGGGCCTCGACAGCCCCCCGCGCTTCGGCACGTGACTCCTCCAGCCGGCGGATCAGCTCGACTGACTCCCCCCTTGCCAAACGAGCCTCGGCCACCGACACCTTCAGAAGTATCTGAAGCTCCTTATTCTTCTCCTCGGATTCCTTGAGCTCGGACCGGAGGCGCGTCGCCTCTGCGTCCAAGTCCAAGGCGCGCTGCTCGGCCGCCGCGACCACCTCAGGAGCCGCCCCGGCTCGGACCTCCTCCACCTGCTTCCGGAGGTCGGCGTTGCGGTCGCTCAAGAGGTCGACGACTCGCCCCGCGTCGTGAACGCGGTCCATCAGCGCCGCGGCATAGTGAGTGCCCTACAGACAAACGGGTCAGAACAAGAGCTATCCAGACACACGCAACCGAACCAGCAGAACAACACTCACCCATAGCAGCGACTTAGCCGACCTGACAAGAAGAACCTTCGAGGGCAAAGTGTACAGATCCCGAGCTATGTCGGGATGAAACCCTCCGAGGACAAACCCGGCCGCGGAATCCCCGTCGGCCCACACCCGGCTGCCCCGGGAAAAGCCTTCCCAATGGGCCGGCAGCGGGTCGGAGGGCTCACCCGGAGAAAGATCACCCATCGTGCGCGCCTGGTAGGGCTCATCCTCCCCCCGGGCTTGGAGGCGGCAAAGCTCGCGGACGGAGGGCTCTCGAGGGGCTTTCCCCGCCACGTCCCTACTTGTGTCGGCTTCGCCCCGCCCGAGGCTTTTCCTGGCGCGTCCGGTCGGTATAACAACAGCCCCGACCGGCTGGGCCGATGACCCCCCAGAGTTTTTTGCCGAAGGGGTCTTCGCCTTCTTCCGAGGACGACCAGCCTCAACGTCCACTGGGGCCTCCCTCGAGCCAGCCCTCACCTCGGCCGGCAAATGCGTGGATGGGGCCGTCGCGGTCTTTCCCCCACGAAGGTCTCGGAGAAGCACCATCTCTGCGCAAAAACACCAACATTGGTTAGCTGGCAAATTGATCCCTTAAGTAAACCCTAAAGCTACCCCTCAGGGCATACCTCGAGACATCGGGCTAAGACCCGCCTCGACCAGCCATTGCTCAGACATATTCCGGATGGCTCTTGAGGCTGGGAGGATTTCTTTAAGCCTCCGGAGCTCTCGGCGCTCCCCATCATCCAGACCCGGGGCGGTGTTGTCTATCACGCGCGTCGCCCATCGAAGCCCGAACCCCCAGTCCTCCGAGCGGCTGACGAAAAAAGAAGCGCCCCTTCCATCCTTTATTACTGAAAGGAGCCCCGCTCACTCAGAAACCCGCCCGGGCGGACAGATAGTAACCCCCCGGCCTCTTGGAAAGCCGGAAATAAGAAAGGAAGAGGGATCGGGTCGGGGTGATGTTAGCGTAGTGGCACTCCCCCAAGAATGCCACCAGATAGCGCCAAGAGTTGGGCGCCATCTGGGATGGGGAGATACGACACCATGAGATACACGAAGTTATGATGGGGTGCAAGGGGAGGCGTAACCCAGCCTCAAAGGCATCGAGGGTAAGGGCGAAACCCTTGGGAATCGGGTCATACGCCCGTTGGCCGGGCTTGGGAGCATGGAGGGCAAACTCCTCCGGGATGCCGTAGAGGTCCCGGAGGCGACTGAGCAATGACTCGCTCACGGTGGAGTCGAGGTCGTGTGGCCACATCAGGGCCTCAAGGGCTCGGGCCGCCTGTTCGTCGGAAGACGAGTCGGGGTTCGACACAACCACCGTTTGCTCGTCTTTAGCCAGGGAAGAGGGTGAAGAGGTAGGGAAGAAGACACCATGCTTACCGACCTTTGAGAAAAGAAGAAGAGCGATCGGCACAAACGAAAACGGTGGAGTACGGCGCGGCAGAATAGAAACAAGTAAGGAGACATTTGAGGGGCTAGTCGCGCACTATTTATAGACAAAATCCCGCCAAAAATAGCGACCCTTTCTCTTCTCAGGCACGTCGCATCGGGATGACACGAACATCATTCCGTCATAAATACCGCTTGACAGAGCGACTGACAGGTGCGTTACATGTGGCACCAGCGAGCTTGAGTCGCCGGTCTTCTCGAATACTGGCGATTCACAAAAAGGTTCGACCCCTGGGCTTCCGAACAGACCGAAGAGTACTCGGCCACCAACACCTCCCACAACACAGCGTAACAGCTCCAATCGAAGCAGCTCCTCGGCACCGGCCACCCGCGTTGTGTTCTTCGGCCCCATGACACCCGAAACCACGCCAGCGCGGCCTGTTCGCCCGAGTTCAGGTCCTCGGCAGCAGCCGCCTGTGTCGTGTTCTTCGGCCCCATGACGCCCGAAACCATGCCTGCGCGGCCTGTTCGCCCGAGTTCAGCTCCTCGGC